CTTCACTCAACATACCAAAACTTATGACAAACTAGGAAAGCAGTGTTCAGATGGGAATCTATAGCTGTAAATATTTATATTAAAAAAGAAGTCCAGACAATGGGATATTATTCAGCACTAAATAGAAATGAGTTACCAAGCCATGGAAAACACACAGAGGAATCTTAAATGTATATTACTAAGTGAAAGCACACTCTGGTGCAGGGTGTCTATAGTAGGGGCGGTTGTGCATGTGTGGGGACAGGGCATATGTGGGAACTTCTGTACTTTCTGCTCAATTCTGTTGTGAACCTAAAACTGCTCTAAAAAGTATTTAATAATAAAAAGAGAAGATAGATATCAAATCAGTAGCCTAAACTTCTACCTTAAGAAATGAGAAAAAAGAAGAGCAAACTAAACCAAAACAAGTAGAAGGAAAGAAATAATAATGGTTAGAGGAAGAATTAATGAAATAAAAAAAAACAGAAAAAAATATTGAAAAATCAACAAAACAATGTTGATTCATTAGCCAAAAACAACAAAGGGGACCAACCAGCTAGACTGACCAAGAAAAACAAAAAAAGAGAAAACTCAAAGTACTAAAATTAGTAATGAAAGAGAGGACATTACTACCAATCTTACAAAAATAAAAAAGATCATAGGTAATACTATGAACAAGTATATGCTAACAAATCAGATCACCTAGATGAAATGGAAAAATTCCTAGCAATACACAAACTATCAAAACGGACTCAAGAATAAATAGAATATCTGAATAGACCTATAACAAGTAGAGATTGAATTAGTAATAAAAAAAAAATCTTCCCACCAAGCCAGGCCCACTGGTGAATTCTACCAAACATTCAAAAAATTAACATCAATCCTTCACAAACTCTTCAAAAAACAGAGAATTCCAATTCATTCTCTGGATGAAAACTCTGCCTTAGGGCAATCATTGCCTATCTCTTCATCGCAGAAATTTATGGCAACAGGCAGACTTGCTTGTCCATGAAAACAGGTTGACTGATCAGGCACCCTAGGGCAGCAGTTGTTAACTTTGGCTATGCCTAAGAACCACCTGGGGAACTTCATAAAATCCAAGTGACTTCCCCCCTAAAAAATCCAGGTGCCCACACTGTATCTAGATGTATTATATAAAATCTACAGGAGCAGGACCCAGGCAGCAATAAAACAAACAAATGTTCTAGGTGATATAAGAACATACAAAAGGAAAGCTAAGAGATATAGATAATAGAGATAAAAGTGCCAAACTTTTTCTATTGGATCATTTTGATCTCCTCCACCTCTGCTAAACTCCCAGGGCTGCTACATTACCACCTAAAGAGACCACCAACACTCAGTTCTTCTGACGGTTAACAGGTGAGATATTGACCAGAAGTGCTATCTGGTGGTGGTTACAAGAGTGATCACCAGAGGCTTTGTGTGCTTGGGGCTCTCTACCGCAGGGTTCATCCTATCCACTTTCCTTAAATTCATTGGGATCGACAAAGACCGGGGCCTGGCTTTCGGTCTTTTCCCAGTACAAGAATCAGCAGAATGACAAAGGTGTTAACGAAGTTCTGAAACTGAGTTCCCCTAAAACCAAGTTCCCCTGCTGAGTTTATGATTAACCTCCCTATCCAATACTTCATTCCCTTTTTTGTCCTCTCTGACCTCCATCCTGTGCTAACTGAACACTAATCAACCAGAGTCAGATGACTAAAATTACTGTTGTTGATAACATCCTTGACTTACAGACTCAGCTTGTTCCTCCAGGGCAAGATGAGCTAACAGATCCTCAGGTCAAGGACCACCAGACCAGACTTGTAAACCATAGGCACCTTGAATCCCAAAACTATGATTAAGAAATGTCAGAAGATGATGATTAACCCCAGCTGCTTTGTTCTTCCCCTTTAAAAACCCCTAACTCAAAGACCAAGCTGGAGTGGATCTGAGGCTTGTCCCCAACTCCCTTGCTTGGCGCCCTGCAATAAGCCCGTATGTTGCTGCAACACTTGCTGTCAGAGTTTGGCTTTCTGCCCAGGGACACAGGAGGCCACTGCTTGGTTACAGTTCCAGGGAGGGGAAACTGTATGAGCAGAGGCAGGGAATCATGACTGAATGGTGGATGCAGGGGAACTAGAAGCAATTATTAGAGCAGAAAATTACAAAGTGGGACATGGCACAAAGTGAGGCTGCAGAGAAATTTTTCAGGACTCTTACCAGCAAGTGACAGGAACCCAACTCCAACTAGTTTAAGCAGAAAAGGCAGGTCACAGGCAGAATTCTCAGCTCCCAGAATTAAAGGAAGAGTTACAGAGACTTGAAGCACTCTAAGAATCTCAAGGACTGGAAGTCAGAGCTCAGTGCCACGAAGAGGCTTTCATTCTGCCTCTCATTTTTGCTGCTCTCTTGCCTAAGTATCTCAGACTAACTGTTAAAATCAACAACAGCAAAGCATTTCCCCTAGTTTCCATTTAGGAAATTCAAGAAATGAACTTCAGTAGGCACAGCATGGTCACAAGCCTACACCCACAATAGGAAAGGAAAGATAGGCTATTCTAATCGGTATTTTTCCAATAATCATACATTTAAAATCGAGGAGGCAGTTTTCTAACTGAAAGACAATGCTGTTCTGAAAAGACTAAGCTGTTCTGAAAAGACTAAGCAATAAACCATTACAGAGAGGCAAGGGCCAAGTCATAGGCAGCTTTTTATGTCCTGCTGGAGGCATCAGGGAACCATGACTTTAAGTAAGGGTCAGATTTGCATTTTAAAAAGGTAAGTATAGCTGTGTGTGATGAATGGACTTAAGGAAGTGAAACTATGCAAGAAGAGAAAAGCAAGGCAATTATTCCAAAAGACTATAGTCTAGGGATGTCTAGGCCAGAGAGCTGAGAGAGGGAAGGAGAGGTTGGAATTCAGACACACTCAGGGATTAAAAGGAGGGTTTAGTGATTAATTGAATGTGTAGGATGAGTCAAAGTGTAGGCATCAAGGACAATGCAAGAGCTTTCTGTTTTGAACGATGGAGGATAATGGTTCTGTTAGCTGAGGCAAGCAAAGCAGGAGATTCAGGTCGGGGGGAAAAGTAATGGCTGTCTCCAGCCACTGAATATGAAGTATTTGTGGGTTTCTGGAACATCCAAATGACAGACAGGCAAACAGCTGGTTATAAACAGGATTCTGAAACTCAGGGGCAAGATCCAGGATACAAATATAGATTTAGAAGTCAGCAGGTAAAGCCATGAGAACAGCTGAGCTCATTAAATATAAGTGAGCAGAAAAAGAAGTATGGTGGATAAAGACTGAGGAACACTAACATTACAGAGTTGGAGCGATAAGGATTTCAGAAAGGAGTCTCGGAGGGAATAGTCAGAACAGGAGAACCAGAGAGTATCACCATGAAGGTCAAGGGAATAGAGATTTTGGCAGAATGGTTGTTCACTCCTATCCAATGTACTAAAGAGGCCCCGCTGGAGGACTAAATATCACCCACTAAAACTGGCAATATCCAGGTCGCTAACACTGGGCAAGATAAGAAATAAAGCAGGAATGTGTGCTGAGTGTGAAGGTCAAGCTAAATTAAGCAATGAGCTTAATTTAGATGTTAGATTTTAGGTAGTGGCAGCATATTTAATTGGAAATACCCAGAACTAAAAATAGGAATAAGGAAAGAGGTCTAGGCAAGTCACAGTTGAATCATCAGTTCATAGATAATAGTTAAAATCATGGGTGTGAGCTATCTGAAAGGAAAGTATGAAGGGTGAGAAGAAGTCCAAGACTGGAACTATGATGGAAGGAATATTTAAAGGGCTGAGTGAGAACTTGTAAGGAAGCCAAGGAAGGTTTCAAGAAGATGATGATGGATGGTGTAATGCTCACTCCACTGGAAGGCTTCTTCAAGGGTGACGTAAGTGGGGGTGGGAGAGGGTTACATACATGTCTCATCCTCACTTACAGCTAGACAGGGAGGTTTTGAAGAGAGGAGCTGTGACTGTTTTTGGTATCCCCTGGACTGGTACAGAGACTCTACAGGGCTGGTGTTCAATAAATGTTTATTGGATTGATCTGCTGACACATGGAAGGCTGGTGCACGTGGCACTGTGAGGCTCCCAGTGAGGCTGGAGGAGGGAACACTGTGGGCGAGAGTTTAGGGAAGGCAGAATGGATCATTAAAGACCTTGAAATCAGGCAGGGATCTGGACTTGCTGCAGCACTCCCGGCACCTCCCGAGGAAAGAATAAAGCTCCTGTTTTTTATTGTTAATGATCCCTCATATGAGATTGGCAGTTAGTACTCAAGACAATTATCTCAATTATTCCTCACAAAAGCCTTGTGAGGTAAGCACAATTTTACTAGTAAGGAACAGAAGTTCAGAGGCGTGAGTAGATGGCCTAATTATTACTGGCAGAGCCAGGGCCCAAGCCTAGACCGCTCCTCGCTCTTCCTTCTACACCACAATGCTACCAGTTAAATTCAATTTTTGCAGTGAAGTCTTTAAGGCCGAGTTGACATAAAAATTATATTAAATTTGGCTTCTGTAGTGGAGGTTTCAGGCTGAAGTGATATTATTAAAATTATAACCTTTTGAAAAATATTTATTGAGTATAAATAAATGTCCTATACATTAAATATCAAGGAATATTCATTGTTGATTACAAGTCAGCTGTAATACTGAAGGAACCATAGAATCAAAATATCCACCCATGATACAGTAGTGGTAATTCCATTCCAATATTGGACACAGTAATGAGTTACACACAAGACACAACAAAACTCACCAAAAAAGGCCGTCACTTTAACCAACCTATAATACCACAAGAGAAAATGGTTTTGAGTCATAATATGAACAGTCCCACAAATCTCATCTTTGTTTTAGCAACTGATCAGGTCAATTTGAGATTGTGGAGATATGCTTTCCTAGTATTTAAAGATTCCCATTTCCTGGTTTTATTTCAAAATTATTTTCAAGGAAGGAAGTCATACATACCCACTGATAATTTTAAGTAAGTTAGTCTTTCATAAGAAAGGAGGAATAAAAATTTAGTACAAAGAAAACATCCTCCAAGCAATGAGTCTCTTAATGGAAAAAAAATAAGAGCAATGTAATTAACTTTTCCTCCAAAGACAGGAAAGAAACCTAAATCTGTTATGGCAAACTTGGAAAGGTAAATATTTCCTAGTCCCAGAATATGTGTTTATTTTACACGATGTACTTGAATGATGCAAGTCTATGAAGCAGGGATCTGTGGCAATCCAAATTCATCCACAAGGACTCCATCCTGTGAAAAGGAAGCAATGTTTAGTGCCACTATTTTTCAACTGATAAAAAAAAAAATGATTACAAAACTGTAGTAGTCAAAACTCATTTCCAAGTGTTTAATCAATGAAAACAAAAATCCCATTGATAAGATGAGAATTTTTTTTTTATGAAAGGTAAAGGGGGAAGTGATAAATCAGGAAAAGTGGAAGGGATCAAAAGGGGCAACGCTTTGCAGAATAAAGGAAGAGTGAGAAAGAGAAACTTAGCAGTAAATCTAGGAAGGGGGAAAAGGGGCTGGGAGGATCCAGAAGGAAAGGCTGAGGAGTGAGCCCTCACCTCCAGATTCCCACTTTCACTCTGATCCCTAAAGTGAATCAATACCTTTTGTAGCCTCCCCAGTCCCTGAAGGAGCAATGCCCTAGGACAGGCAGTCACTTTCACATCACACTTTACCACAAACCTATAGGCAGCAATACCGCTACTGAGTCACAAACCATACCTCAACAGCACATTTAAGTCAGGAATATGTGACCTTCTAAAAGTGGAAATGACATACATGCTTCAGGGACTTGTTACTAGGGATTTGAGAAGGTGGGCTATGGTAGTGTTAATAAAAATTATTTTAGGTATGCTGAGAAAAAGCAAACTATGCACCTGGCACCCTAAAGTGGCCAGAGAGGCCAGGGTGGTGTGGGCAGTGGAGAAGGGTAAGACGACCCCAAGGAAGGCTCAAGGGAAGAATGGGGGGTAAAGTAAGGGAAGACACACATTCTTCAGAATCAGCTGTAAAGGATCTGATAAATTACCTATTTTCCACCTCTTGTTCCCCACATTTTATAGGTAGGAAAAACATGAGGTTCAGAGAGAAGACACAAATTTCTGATTTGCTCAAAGTCACACAAGACTGGCTCCCACTCCAGGATTTTCTCAACTACACTGTGCACCTCAATGTGCACGTTGGGAGTGGATCAACACCAGGGCTGTAAATGGCCAGTGGCAACAGAAAAAACAACACATTATACCAGGAACTATAAGGTGGGGTGAATAGGATTTCATAAGCAGCAAAATTTTATCTATTTATAATGACAACTGCGGGGTGGGGAGGAGCCCACTGGTACAGCATGGGCTTAGCATGCATGAAGTCCTAGGTTCAACTCCCAGTACCTCCATTAAAATAAAAAAATAGTATCTATTTATAATGACAACCACATAGGTTTGAACAGGACTTTAAGTTCACAAAGTCATTTTCCATACAAGATCTAATTTGATCCATAGAAGAGTTATGTGAGCTAATTACAATTCTCTGCATTTTATAGATGCAAGGAACAGAAAAGTTCAAAATATTCGCCAGAGTCTCATAGTTGCAGTTTAAGCCTCAGACTTAAATCCAGATCTTATGATTCTTTTTTTTTCTTAAGGAGGGGAGATCATTTTAGGCTTATTTATTTGTTTATTTTTTAAACAGAGGTACTGGGAATTGAAGCCAGGCATGCAGTCTACCACTGAGCCATACCCTCCCCTCTCACAATTCTTTTACCCTTTGGATTAGAATCCTTCTACGTTGTTTTCTTTTTATTTTTTCAGAGTTAGAAGATTTCATTTTTTTTTTTTAAGAAGACTTCATTTTTTAAAACATTTATTATTTTTATACAATTTTAAAGGTTACTTTCCATTTAGTTATTACAAAATATTGGCTATTTTCCTAGTGTTGAACAATACATTCTACATTGTTTTATACTTAAATTATGAACCCCTAGTTTAAAAAAAAAATCCACCCTATTATTAACCACGGTGTCCAGAGCAGAACTTCATTTCACACTGCTGCCCAGCACGGTTCATGCACGTGTTGCTGCTGCTTTCCCAGGGAAATGTCTAAGAGCTGTAAAAGGCACTCAGTGCAAGCTCACAACAAGGGTGATTATGCTGTACAAATTATTATTACATAAAACACCCTTGGCCTCGGTGACACTATTTACGCAGCCTATGCACAATCCAATGCAAGAAAACTGGGTTTTCAAGGGTTCCCAAAATAATGACAGAGACAGCCTTTCCTTGTTCTTACTTAAGAATACCTTTTAGATTCCCAGACTGGTGACCAAGCATAAAACCTTTACCAATTTGCATAGAAAATATAAACAGAAAAAGCTTTCACCTTGTTCTTTGTGTCAGTGGGAACACCTTCTGGAATTGCAGGTGCAGCTGCCGCTTCATCCAAATAAGAACTGTCTTCATCAGCCAGAAGCTCATCGCCCAGTGCATCCAACTCTGAGATTGAAACAGTCAACATTTCAAAAAAAAAAAAAATTAGCAAGAAAACTGGCAGCTAATGTTAAGAAAGTTAGCCAAATTATTTGCAGTAAGATAAGAATTTAAAAACAAAAAGAAAGAAAGGGTTTATTACTTTCTATTTGCAAAATAAAAGACCATCATAAGAACTTTTCAAGGGGACCGATGTGGTAAAATCTATGAAAAACAAAAATTAAAATAAGACCAATGAAGAAAACCATCATTCCCTACAGGTTTACAAAGGACCTGGTCTTCATGAGAAGACTCCATAGTTATCAACTGGCCAATTCAAATTAGAAAATCCTAACAATAACAAATGCAAAAAATTCTCTCTTATTCATTGATGAACTTGAAAGGAGGCATGAGATTGTTGTGTAGTTAGTGACCATGACATGAGACCAGGCTTTAAAAATAAGTCTATGACAGGGGGAGGGTATAGCTCAAGTGGCAGAGCACATGCTTAGCATGTACAAGGTCCTGGGTTCAATCCCTAGTACCTCCTCTAAAGATAAATAAGCCTAATTACTTCCCCCTGCCAAAACAAAAATCATACAATAATAAATAGATTAAATATTCTTTTTAAAAAATAAATAAAAATAAAAATAAAAATAAGTCTATGGCAAAGTGAGCTGGAAGTGACCAGGAAGAATGGCAATAGCAGGGTAGAGACTCATCAGGGAAACTCAAGATAAGAAATAAGAAAATAAAAAAGTAAATGGGGGTGGGTGGGAGAGGTTCTAGGCAAAACAGGAGGTAGAGAGAAAGTAGTAGTAATAATGTGACAGGGGAATCATGCAACAGAAAATCCAGTGTGAGATGGTCCTGCCATCTACCCAGTTACTCATGTTAGAAATTGACAGACATCTTTGACCTCCCTCTCTCTCCACATCCAATCAATCGTGTCCATTCAACGTCCTAAAATTTCTTCAATCTGTCTACTTCTGTTTTTGCTACCACCACCTTAATCTTAGCCACTATTATTTCTTTTTTTTTTGTTTAACATTTTTTATTGATTTATAATCATTTTACAATGTTGTGTCAAATTCCAGTGTAGAGCACAGTTCTTCAGTTATACATGAACATATGTATATTCATTGTCACATTTTTTTCTCTGTGAGCTACCATAAGATCTTGTGCTACGCCACTATTGTTTCTGAAATGGACTACAGCAATGGACTATTCTCTGCAAGGCCTTCCAACAACCCCTTCCATTTTTTCTTGCTAACCCCTACTCATCCTTCAGGTCCTATGCCCATACCCTGCTCCCAACTAGGTTAGACTTGCCGGCTATGTGCTCCTATGGTACCCCATACTTCCCTTTCCCAACAGTCTGTGCTCTTGTAAGCTTCAAGAATGCAGGGATTGTGTTTGTTTTCTTCAATGGTGAATCCTCAGCACCTTAACACAGTGCTTGGCTTAGTAGATGCACACTAAGTATTTACCAACTCCTGTTTCTTGATCTGCTTTGCTGTTCTGAGGGAGAGGACTCCAAGTAGGAAAATAAAGAGAAAAATCCAAAGGAAAGCAGCAGGGAATGGCAGTGTTTGGATATCAAGTACCAGGTCAGCAGAGGCCTTTGCCCGGACTTTCCTTCAGAGCTTGCCCATCCCAGAGTTGGTGGGGTATACAATCTGATGTGGCCACCTCACAAGTTCTTTGCCAAGAGACTATATCATAAACTAAATCTCAGGGAACCCTCACAGGATTTTCTCTAGTATTTGGAAGAAAAGGTCCCAAGCAGTTGCTCCTGTCAGACTCTAAAGCTACACATATATTTCTTTTGCCATAACTTACCTGCTTCTAGGTCATCTTCATCTAACTCTGGGGTACCATAACTGCGGCTCAGTGCTTCTTGGATTTCATTTGCATCTTCCATCATATCCTCTAGCTGGTCTTGTAGATCCTACAAAAATATATGACAGGGTTTTATTTATTTCTTACCATTTTTCTCTAACTCTCTCCACTAAATCTTAGAAATAAGCAATGATCCATATGATCCTTCTCCTATTTCTGGTGGTAAAAATGTAAACTTAAAAATAAAGAAGAACAGAATTGGCAATCTTGCACTTGAATTTAAGGTGCTCTGTGGAAATCCAAACTCTTATTGCAAGAATAGATGCCCACCAGCTTTCCGTCGTTATAGAAAGTTTACCTAAAACATGAAATCAAGCAACATTTACACTATCAAAATTTTTCTAGTTAATGGAGAAAAGGAGATAATTGAGACAAGTAAATTACTCTTCTTGAGTCAGCCCCAAACTGACTACACTGTGTAGGGAAAGGAAGCAGTAGTGGAAACAACTGGGTACAAAAGGTTATACTGGTCCCACCCTAGGTGGAGAAACAGAATGGAATCAAGAAAGGCTTGATATCTGAGATCAGCCTGGTGAAAAAAACTGACTGGGTATAAATCATCTGTGAATGATCTGCTTGTACTTAAATGGGCAACTACTGCAAGGCCAGAAAGAACATAAAAACCAATCTGAGAAGTGGTACAGTATAATAAAGGACAGCCAGTATAACGGTTAGAAGAGCAGACTACAGAGTCAAACATATCTAAGGTAAAATTTGGCCATTACTCAGTGAAAAGTAATGTCTCTTAGCCTTAATTTCCTCATCTATAAAATGGGATTATCAATAAATATGTCATAGGATTATTGTAAGGATTTATTGCAATAACATGTCAAACACGAAACACTTACTACTATATATCCTCTATTGTGTTAGGGATGTACAGAACAAAATGTTCTTCACACACTGAAAATTCCACATAGAGGGGAATGGACTAGTGTTGATAATGCAGACGGTCCAAATCAGCACAACTTATCCTCCAGAATTTCTAGTGCAAAACATTTAAAAACTCCTTCCTGGCTCCCAAGTTAGAGGCTTGTTTTTTCCATATAAGGGTAGAAAGTAAAATGGAGAAAAATATTTTTTGAAAAGGAAATGCTTTGTTTTTCTATACTTCTAAGGGCCAAACTATCATCCTGTACATGTGTAACCATCTGCTATACAGAGGAGCATTGGCTGAAACAATAAGAGAGTAAAATAGCATAAACTAATCAAACCAAGCTTCTATTATGCTTTTAAATATCAAAACAAGTCTCCCAAAATCACCTATGAATAGGATTCCTAGCAATAGATTCTAGGATAGCAGAGGAAAAAAAAAGTCACCACAGAGAATTAGCAGGTTCAATTCTGGAAAGATGAACAAAAGCAGTACAAAACAACAAATACAAGCATTAGATTTGATGTGCAGAAACTGGAAAATAAAGATACAGACAGGTGAACACACACACAGAGGCAAAAAATTTTAAATGAGCACTATGAAACAATGACAATGTTTTACAAGTAAATTATTTTAGGAAAACAGAAGAAACTCAAAACATATACCCCAGCCAAAGACATATACCCATATACATCAAAAAGGTTAGAAAGGGGCTCTCCATCTGTCATGCAGGCAAATCTATTAGGGGTCAGGAAAAGGATAATTAAGTGTGGGGACAGCCAGACAACCCCAGGTGAAAGATGAAGAGACATACAAAAACCCAGAAAGACCAAAATTTCTATTTTGTTTATTAAATAGCACTGATTAAAACACAAGCAACCCTAAAAGCAGAAAATAAAATTCTATTTCATTACATTTTATGATCAAACAGTGTTGTACAAATAAGACAAGCCTACACGAACATTATTCTCAGTGAATCTCCTGGAAGATATCATTCTGTAAGCAGAGACTGGTGGCCAATTACAGAGAGGGCCCAGGGTGGTCTAAGTGGGGGAAAAGCTAGATGAGAAGAGTGTCTGCATTACTCAAGACCAGAACTCCCAGAGAACACCTCTGCAGAGGCAGTAAAATGCTGGATACACAGTAACTACTGAGCCAACAAATACTGCTTGAATTGGGCAGAACTGCTTGAATAGCCTCTCGTTCATCTGTTCATTAACCATTAAATACTTTGAGCACCAGCTATGGCCAGGCATTGTTTAGGGTACTGGGGATACAACAGTGAACAAAATCCAGTTCCTGCCCTCACAGGAAGAGACATTCTGTGCAGGGGCAGAGGTGAAAAGCACTCTCACATATGCAGAAAGGAAGAGGTTTCCTCTGGCCAGACACCACTCCCCGTGCTGTCCCTGCTTGCCAGCTGGGCTGTTCAAGTGACAGAGGTGAGAGGAGCCAAGCTCTTAGGGCTCATCTCCCCAGCCAAAGCATGATCTCAAAAGAAAATGCTAATTGTAAGGACCTAATGATTCTTAGGTATCTAAAGAGTATCTAAAGTATTATTAAGTATCTAAAGAGACAGGGGTAGGGATTAAGAGGTACAAACTACTATGTATAAAATAATTGCAAGAATATATTGTACAACACAGGGAATGTAGCCAACATTTAATAATAACTATAAATGGAGTATAACTGTGAAAAAAGATGACTGAGTTCTGGGGATCTAATGTAGCATGGTGGCTATATTTAACAGTACTGTATTATACACTTGAAAGTTACTAAGAAAGCAAATCTTAAATATTCTCACCACACACACACACAAATGATAATTATGTGAGGTTATGAAGGTGTTAACCTTTTTGTGGTAATCATTTCACAATATATACATGTATCAAATCATCACGATGTACACTGTAAACTTACATAATGTTATATGTCAATTGTACCTCAATAAAATGGGGAGAAAAAAATCTCAAGAGAATTACTTAAAGGGAACCAATTCTACACCAGGAACCGTGCTGAGCATTTTATGAATTTAACACTCATGACAATCCTGGGAGATGGGCAGCAACACCACTACTTTACAACTGAGGCAACCAACTAAAATTCATCAAGTGAGTTAAAAGTAAAAGGAAACTGGGTGCTTATTTACTGGGTGTTTATTATATGCCAGGCATTGTGTGTTTAGATATACCAGCTCATTTATTTCATCCTCATAATAACTGTATGTGGTATCAGAATCCTTGCATTAATAATAAGGGAAGTGAGATTTTGGTACCCTTTCATGAAGTTACTCTATCAGCAAATGGCAGGCACAAGATATAATCTGTCTTCTGGGCTCTTCCCATCATATACACATTCATCTTGATCCTTTCAGAAACCAGTGCACATTCTTGCAGTATACATCTCACCTCAATCTGGTCGATTTTCACCTGCTTGTAAGCTTTCTTCATTTCCTTTACTCCCAGTTTCATAGCATCAACCTAAAAAAAAAGGAAAGAAAAAAACATCATGTCTTAAGAAGCAATGCTGGTTAAACTGTCTTAAAAATCACAGGAAAAGAGCACAAAAATTAAAAATCATGGGAAAATGTGCTTTGGGAGTACCGTGGTCTTGGTGTCCTTCAGTGACTGGATGGTGTAATTAGCTTGTTCCATGTTAAATGACTGCTGGGCGAGATTGTCCCGCTGCTGCTCATACCTTGTTAGAGTCAATTGAGAATGGTAAATGTAAGCCAGACAGAAATCCTCAGGAAGAAAGTATCTCTAACACTAAACAAGAGAATTTTCTTTAGGGGAAAAAAAAAACCTTAAAAATTAAACACACAGAAAAGTTGGGAAAAACAGTTAAATCAATCCAACACAAATATCATTTGATGTATCCCTCCAGTCTTTTTCCTCTGTAGGTATTTTAGTTATAACACTATTTTCCACTTAACATTACCATTATTATTGCCGTTTTCTACATTGCTAAGCGGTCAGTATATGTCTTTATAATATTTTAGATAATTTCCTATACTAAATTCCCAGCAGTGGTATTCTTGGGGCAAAGGGTAAGATTATTTTTTAAGGCTCTTCATACATATAGTGAAACTGTTTTTCCAGTAAACTGAGCTCCTGGGGACAGGTATTATATTTTATTAACCTCATATCTCTAATTAGGTAATCCACCCAAACTAATATAATGCCTAGTGCTCCAACAATGCTTTTTTTTTTAAACAAAGTTTTATATCAACTTGTAATACTACCTCAAAGACTTGCATCACTATAGTTTTTATACAATATTTGGAAACCATATAACCATCCAACCAGAAGAAAAACAGTCAATGATGCAGGCAAACAGCATTAACTGGAAAAGGATAACCTATATACACATCATTTGTTTTCTCGTAAAAAATTATTTGCACACATACCATGTATGCACAAGCAGAGAAAGAAACTATAAGAAATTAGCACTTAAAGGTTGTTATTGCTGGTAGTAGGAATCTAGGTAGATTTTCTTTCCTTCTGCTTATGTTCATGTACTTTCCAAATTTCTACAATGAAGGGTACCCTTCTATTGAAAAAAAGTTACTTAAAAATTACAGTGCTATCAATTAAGGGAGGAAACAGTTTTAGCACACACTGTCACCACTCTAGGCCATGTAATTTC